TTTGAAAGAAAAACATTCAACAAAGTGATGATAAATTCAATATTAAATTTTACATTTTTAAAAATCCTAATTTTTTTTTTTAGTTTCTCTTGAAAGGAGGAGGGTGTGGCCCTGGCTGCTTTGCTCGGTGGTTAGAGTATCAGTCAGTTTGTGGCCTGAAGGGTCCTGGGTTCGACTCCAGCCAAGGGTACGTACCTTGGTTGCAGGCTCGGCCCAGGTTGGGGTGCTTGCAGGAGGCAACCGGTCGACGTGCCTCCCTCCCTGCCTCCCTCCCTCCCTCCCTTCTGCTCTCTCTGAAAAGCAACGGGAAAAATATCCTTGGTGAGGATTTAAAGGAAAAAGAAAAGAGGAGGAATTGGTAGCCACAGTCCCAGCGTCCTACATGCCAATAGCTGGCTGATTCTGGGCGGTGTTAGCCCCTAGGCCACAACTGCCACAGCCCTTTGTTCCATCTGCCTGGCTCCCAAGGTGTCGGCATTTGCACCCCAGATGACATCAGTGAAATCCATGACTCCTCTCTGACCTCCTAAGGGGAGAAACCAAACAAATCAGAAACCAAACAGCCAGGCACCGTCTCCTGATTTCTCTGCCTTCTGCGGACACATCTTCCCCTGAGGTATTGGTACAAAAAAAAGTGGTGGTTTGAATAGAGGGCTGGCAATTCGGGAAAGGGAAATGCAGGGCGGGAATGGCTGATACCTCGGACTGTGCCATCCCTTATGTGTGCAGTGTCTGGGCAGCCAGGTGAGACAGTGACCAGTCCCGTGGGGGAAGAACAGGGCCGTCGGTTAAAGGAGAATTAAGGGAAGCGGAAAGCGGATGTGTCCAAGCTGGGCCGGGGACATTAGCCAGAGCATCCGTCTCCCGAGTGTTCCCCCTGCCAGGTATTGGAATCCCACTTATGTGACTCTGACCTAATGATGAGCCCCCGAGGGATAGGTAGGCTTATCCCCACTTGACAGGTGAGGGGACTAAGGCTCACAGGGGCTAAGAAATTTGCCAAGCAGAGCTGGGATTTAAATTCATAATTATTTGACAGCAGAGCCCCTGCTTTCAACCATGCTATCATAATGCTGCACCGAAAGGAGGGTGGTGGCAGACATTCCAAGCAGAGAGCAACGGCCTGAGCAATGGCACGAGGGCTTCTCATGACGTAATGCCGCATCCTGGCGACTGAGTGTGGCTCTCCCGCAGGGCTGTCACGGGAAGGGTTTGTGGGTGACACCAGAAGAAATCCACTGGGGCTGAACCATTCGTGGCCTTTATGTCACGTTCAAGTTAGACCTGATGAGAGGCTTCAACATGAAGACACTAGAAACGAAAGAGAAAGATTATCCCTTCTTCAAAGCCCCTGTGCATTCGGGCTGGGAAAAAATATGTATGGACTTGATTTCTATAGCTGGATAAATTCATGCTAGAACTAGAGGCCAGAACAATGTTGGAGGCAAAATAAGGGCTCTTCAGTGTGAAAGGCAAGGGCAAAGGGGGGATCCCTTGAAGTCTGTCATCTCACAGTCAGCAAGGTAAGGGGGACACGATCAGAAGCCTCTACTGCAATCGGAGAACATTCTGCATTTCGAGTGAGACCGAGCGGTCCAGGAACCGCCCGCTGCCCGCCATACCCACAGGCCTTGCTCTGGGACACTATCATCCCGCCAAAAGCAACAGGGCCGGGAATCTGCCAAAGACGCCATATAAGGGAGCCGAGGTGGCTTGTCATGAGGCTCCCTACCCAGTGAGGGACAGTGGGAGAGGGGCTGTCCCAATCACATTCTGTCACCTGGGACGTTTTTAATTAAGACGAACCAAAAGAGAGGGCAGCCGCAGAAAACAAAAGCAGAGGAGGAAATACCAAGTCAGCATTTAGTAGCAACAGGGCAAGGAATAAATTTTCCATTGATGACTGAAGAAAATCAATGTAGCAAATACTTACGAGCACACAGTCCTGCCCAGCTGGTGTGGCTCAAGGGTTGAGCATAGAACTATGATCCAGGAGATTGAGGTTCGATTCCCGGTCAGGGCACAGGCCCGGGTTGCGGGCTTGATCCCCAGTCGGGGGCGTGTGGGAGGCAGCCGATCAATGACTCATCGCTGATGTTTCTCTCTCTCTCCCTCTCCCTTCCTCTCTCTGAAATCAATACAAATACATTAAAAAAAAAAAAGAACACACATTCCAGGGTTCAACTCTTTGGGTTCAAATACACTAACCAGCTCTGTGACCTTGGACAACTTCCTTAGCCTCTCTGAGCCTCCCTCTCCCTCTTCCTCTCCTCACGGCCTGTTGTGCAGTTATGTGAGTGTTTAGGGTAGTCCTTGCCGTCTGCTAAGTGCTTGGTAACTGTTATTTTATTATATTCTGAAGGGGGGGGAAATTATATTCATGTTCTCCACCGAGTCTGCCAGTGAGCTGTTGGAACAGATTCCTGGGTTTCCATTCTTTTTCATAAAGCCTTATACTAAGTCCCTGGGTCCCTTCCTTTGAAATCGGAAAGAGGCTAACATAGTAAGCTTAGAAATGAGAAAAAGCTTCACTTCAAAAACGGAGAACAAGAGGGAACACGTTGATAATACAAACATGTTTTCTAAAGGGTTAGATTAAATCATGAACAACAAAGTCATGATTGATCACTAAAGGAAATCAGAACATGTCGGGGTTTGTCACTACCCTTTGAAGCTGACATCAAGGACAATATTTGCAGCCTTCTACATACCCTTGAGTTTCTCTGCCAATGACAATATCAGGCTTAATGAACCATGGTTCTGATGAGATACGACAATTTTTGTTCTTGTGTACGTAAGTACTTAATCATCGCATCTCACAATACTAAAACCTCCTGAAGCTTGAAAGAGATTTAGGACTGATAAATTAGTTATTATAATGCACTCTGGCTGCATTGTGCTTTAGGATTTGGAGACAGTTTCAAGTACATTATTTCCCTTGATTCTCACAATATCTCCGTGAGGTAGGCAGGTAGTAGGTAGGGTAGGCAGGTGTAGGGTAGGAAGCCTTCCGTTTGGGAGGTTCAGGGAGATGGAAGACTGGCTTGTGTTCATACAGCTATTATCTAGTAAAAGTGAATTCAAACTCAGATCCTGTGACTCTCAGCCCCATGCTACTTTCACAAAAGGAGTGGAAAATTTTGCAACTTAACATCCTCAGAGGTAGAACAGGCTTAACTTTAGTTTCAAGAAGGGGGTCAAGTGAGAAATAAAAACGTTGCACAAGCGGTGACACTCCCCATGCCCATGGCACACTTGGCCAATCGGGCCCAGAATTCTCTACTGCTTATACTGGCGCTTCCGAATCCCCTCAACACACTTCTCTGGGGAGCTAGTGAAAGATCAGAGCAGACACAGGATTTTAAAGTTATTTTCTTGTATGACAAGAAGGTTCATGGGGCATATTCGAGGAAGCCGGATGCTTGCCAGTATTCACGTCAGCCTCTTTCTCCTGGGCACATTTTCCCTCCTCCCTTGCAGTTTAGATGAGGCCACGGGATTGGGCTCTGGAATGGACCATGAGTAGAAGTGGGCAATCTTTTTCCCGCATCTACTGAGTGACTAGAGAAGACTCTGAAGATGTAGGGGACAGCTGAGTCACAAGATGGATGGGAGTGGGTCCCTCAATGGCTGAATGGAGTACCCTCCCCCCCCACCCCAAGCAGCATACTATAATTTGAGGAGTAAGGCTATACTGAGTCCACCATGACTTGGGAGCTTTTGCTCAGCAGTTCATCTACACACTAATCAAGGCTGACTTCTTGCGATTGTGCCCTTCCTTGAATCATCTTTTGGGATCATTCTCAGAGGCAATGCTGGACTAGGTGTTCTCCTCACACACTTCCTACTTTCAAATTTTAAAGACCTCAAAAATGGTATAGTGGCCTTGTTTTTCTCTTTCTGCTCCTCGGCATACCCTTCCCATTTGGGAGAAATCCCAAGTTGGGTGACTTTGTTGGGACCACTGGAGTCTAAGGATCAGCTACTCCCTTATTCCGTCCCCTGCAAATCAGAGTCTGGGCTTAGACTCTTCCAACTGATGTTAATATCTGGGATGCTAAATCTTAAGCAAATGAGGCAAAGCAGCAAGGACAGTGGAGAAATCAATCTGTGAAGCCACACACTGGATCCAGTTTGGCTGGTGTCCTGCAGCCTGCATTGCTTTGGTTTTCACCCATTTTCCAAGCCTGATCCCCAGTTCAAATAGATCCTGCAAGAGAAGTAAATAGATTTACTTAATACCTATCCAGTAAACTCCCTTTCTGCTTCCGTTAGCTGGAGTCTGCTGCTACTGCTTGTACTGTGTGTTTATGTGTAAGTGCACTTACGCATATGCACACAACACGGGAATATTCCAGCACCAGCAGCAAGTGTTCTTTGCCAGGGCAATCTTTCCAAATCACTAATTTGCTTGTAACCTTCTGTTTCAAAAGATTCAGTGATTCTTTATCTCAGGACAGGACCCACACATTTTTAGTAGGATACCCCAGAACCTATTTACCTTCCTTGTTTCACTCTCCTACCGTATGCTGGTCCCTGGGCTCACCGCTTCTCCACACCACTGTGTTCACTGTGCTCTTGGCCTGTTGTGCCTTTCCATTCTGGGCCTCTCGGCAAGGTCCCGCTTATCTTTCCTGTTCTAGCTCGAGAATGATCTCGACGAAATAGAGTTTGATGAATTTTCCTCTAGCACTATGCATACTTGTTTTATAGCCCTTATTACACTTTATTGCAATTATTCACAAGTCTGTCCTTCCTAGCAGGTAATAAACTCCCTGAGGACAGTGTCCGTCCAGTCATCTATCACAACGCCTAGATACTCCTTGGCATATAGAAGATGCTCTCAGGTATTTGTTGACTGACTGACTGAACGTGACCTGATGTCTGTAAGGCTCTGAGGATCAGCAGGAGAATCAGTCTAGAACAAGCTCAATAAAGACCATCCACCATGCCAGCCCTGAGCTCCCCAAAGGTGGTTTAGAAGACAAAGAGACACTAGCTATGTTGAAATAACATTTAATGTTTGAAATTCAACAGTGCACACAATACAGGTTTTAGCAGTAAAATGAAAGTGTGTGTATGGTGTTTAATAAAACTGACATTACAAAACAAGACCATGTTAAGAAAACCTTAAAAGAAGAAGTAAACATTTAGGTAAAAACCAAATAAACAACATGCTAAAGGATATGATGTAAAAATCCTAATAAATGTAGTTGCCTAAATCCAGACTTGAGACATTGAGATTTACTTTGCCACTTAAAAAAAAAAAAAAAAAAAGCAGAATGCCCTTCATTTAAAATGCATTTTAAAACATATTTGCACATTGCTTTCCTGCCGGCAACTGCCGTATAATCAAGTATGTAAGAGCGCCAGCTGGGTTGCACTCTGATCGTTCAGAAGTGCACCCGGCGCTCCTGTTAAGCACACGCTTCGCCTCGGAAAGCAACAGCAAATCGCACAATACATGACTTTGCTACGTTAGACCTCCTCTGCGCCCACGCCCCACAGTGAACACGGTTGAAAACCACTTCAATTTAAGAGAGAATGAAAACAAACATCTCCAGCACCTTCTGGTTTCTGAGCACAGACAAGCTGGGCAGGATGGAAACACAGGGGGCCTGTAAGGCCAGCGCTGCGCTCTTCGGGAGACTTCCACTCAGACATACCTCCTGCCTGGACAGACCGGCTGACTTACGTGTTGGTCACTGTGAGAAAAGCAACTGACTTTCAAAATTTCCTCACATTTTGGCAGATGCCTCCCAGCTGTGAAGATTGGAGGTAATTTCTTCACACAGTCATTTCCTAGAACTTATCAAATAAAGGAGTAGGGCCATCGTGGTGGGGGGTTGTGGCGAGGCAAAGGGGGCCGCTCTGCCCCACCAACCTACTAAGGTTCAGTGGGTCCTTGGAAAGCAAGACAATAAAACTGTCTTATGCAAATAAAGCACTTGCTGGACTGAGGCTGCCTAAATGGTAATGCTTCCCTTAACACTTCTAAAGAAGTATGTAATTCCAGGACAAGCCGATTTCTCTAATGACAACCAGAGCAGGCTTGGCAAAGTTAGATTTCATGCTCACGGATGTCAAATGATAACAATACTTAGAAGAGCACCTAGGTCTTAGCAGGGTAAGAATCTAATCAGCACAGGAGGCATTTGCTAACGAGTTAAGTGGTTAAAACATCCAAAGTTCAACTACTACTTTTTCGTGAACTTCACTGAGAATGGGGATCTCTCCTGGATCTCATTTTATTGTTAAACTTCTCTTCTTTTTTCAAGTAAACCAATTCAAACCATTACAGCCTTATGTAAAAATATTAAAATCTTATATAAACCTTACCAATAGCCTGAGAAATGCAAAGACATTCACTAAGAGATTTGTGCAAAAATTGTTTCTCTCAGAGAGCAGGATAAATTGCAAGAATATAAACTAACCCCCGGAATACAACTTTAGAAGGGCTTTGCTTCTATTTTCACTAAATGAACATGGGAGGTTTTATCTAAAATTTGCATATAGCTTTAAAATATATTTAATAAATTTAAATTCTACACAAATACTGACAATTGGTTTTATAAAATGTGAACTGGCACATTTGAGGAACTTTAGGACTTACTATGTAAGTTTCTATTACACATTAATAAAATTTCATAGTACATGTCTTTCTTGATTTATTTTTTTTTCATTGTACATTTCAAATACAATTATGCTTACTTCACACCATGTATTCACAACATCAATGCCCTTGGTTATTCCCACAACTTTCAAACCTTTAAGTTGTACCAAAATTAAAATTCATTAGATTTGATAGTGACAAGTGAGGAAATACAACTCCTTAAGGGTTGAATGGATAAGCCAGATATAAATGCTTAAGAAAACATTTACAAGTATTATATGGGTAATACAATTAATTACAAATTGCTTCCTGTTCATGAAAAACATCTCCTTTGAACTTGAAAATGATACACGAACAGGGCCTATATGCAAATGTGCGTGTCTTCTGCAATTCTAACATTACTGGGTTACACAGATTCCGGCTAACACTGCACCACGGACAGGGCTGAGAATGTGCCGCATCTATAATGCCATCGATGAAAACAGACTCCATACCGAAGTTTGGATTTCCAATCTCTTATCCAATGTCAGTTCCTCTTTAGTTAGCAGAAGATGAAGCATCTGTCTTCCCCGTGGCTTCCTCACCGAAGAGCAGCTTTCGAAGTATATTTGCATAAAATGGTCCATATACTTGTTTGTTGAGATTCACAATGTTAGCATATTGACAACCTAGCGCTTCCAGCTCCGGCTGAATGACAGCAAGGCCTCCAGGCATGGGAGGCATGCATTTTTGAGGGCTTGGAAGACCAAGTAGGCTCTTCAAGTATAGCTGGATTCGTTTATCTGGGGGGGAAAAAGATACCTTTATTCGTCCCATTATTAAAGCATGTAATTTTTAAAAAACGAAAATTATGGTAGGTGGGTTACAATAATATTCCCAATTCTTTACCCTCCCTGTATCCATGCCCTTTACAAGGTAGCTTTGCAGCCCTTCCCATCACAGGTTGGAGTCTGTTTTCCCAAGTCTTGAATTGGGGCTGGCCTTATGACTTCCTTTGGCCAATACAGAATGCAATAGAAGTGCTGGTATGTTAGTTCCATGCAGAGGCCTAAAGAGGCACGGTTCACATCTGCCCTCTCTACCTACGATATGAACAAACCTGGGCCTGATGAAGGACGGCATGGAGGGAAGCCCAACTCTTCTATCTGAGGCCATCCTAGATCAACCTATAGCCCAACAACTCCCAAACACTCAAAAGAGCCCAGCCAAGATCAGCAGGGCTGCCTACCCAAGCCACAGCTGACCACAAATGCATGTTTGAGTCCAGCAAGACCAAAAGAACTACCCAGGTGCCCCAAAGACTTGTGAACAATACTAAATGTTTGCTATTTTTTTTAGCTATGGAGTCTGAGGGTGACTTGTTATGCAGCAATAGCTAACTGATTAAAAATGCAGGGCACTTTTGGGGTAGGGCAGGGAATCTTTTACAAAAACTCAATACTTAATACCTGTAATTTTAGTTATGTATACTACAGCTGAGTTTGTAAACTAGTACCGCCAGTGTTGCCCACACAGTGTTTTTAAAAAATAAAACCACTTAAGATCAGCGGAATTCATATAGAAATACAAATTTCTGGTTCTTCTTGAAAAATCTAGAGATCTGGCAAACTTGGGAGCCCAAATTACCACACGGCAAGGGTGACCACCCATCCAGGTTTTCCCAGGACAGTTGAAGTTTACACCTGTTGTCTTGGTATAACTGAAAAAGAGCACTCTCAAAAGTGTCCCGGCTTGGACAATGAACTACATGTTCACCCCATAGGTGGCCAACAATCTTAAGGCACTGAGGAAGCACTGCCCCAACGGGCACTGCCGTCTTCCTCACCCTTTCTGCCTCACTGCTTCAGCGCACCTGCACTTGGGACTACCTCACAAAAGCAAGCAAATGCATAAATCGGTCAGGCTGTAGAAGTATCAGACGAAGAGTGCTGGACAAACCAGACCTGCTACAGCTCACGCTGCTCCCAGGACTTTCTTTGGCCTTGGAAACAGAAATCTCACAAAGAAGGTGTACTAAGGAGAATAAATTCCATCAAATACAGACAACTATGACATTAATGAAACTCTTATTTCCGAACGCTTCTCCCAACAATCATACATCCCAGCCAGATCTGATCTAGGACTCAAAGTTCCCAATATCCCATGTCCATGTCTGAGCCTGAATTGCTTCCTCTTACTAGAATGTTCTTCCATCTCACCTCACCTCTGCCCCAAGTCAAAAGCATCCTTAATACCAGGCCTGAAGTTACTTCCTTCTGTGGCTTTCCCTAACATCTGTTGGACTAGCACATCATGTTATTGTTATTTGAGAATGTGTCTCTCTCCCCTTGCTTAGGTGAGCTCTCTGAGGGTGAGGGCTGCTCTTTTATTCTTTACATCTCTGGTGTGACATGTGGCAGGCACATCACAAACACTGACTGAATTGAAGTGAGAGTAGAATGAAAAGGTTTGTAAAGATCAATGCCAAACTGAAAACAATGGGAGTCAGGGAGGCATGGCGGCTGGGAAAGGCAGTCACAGATAACTTGGGCCTTGTCTATAATTTGTCAGTAAGGAGAAATGATTCGTGTATGTATCACCCGTACAATTGAAAATTACTTTTTAAAAATGCAGATGGCTATAAGCACGCAAACAATCTACACAGTAGGTAATCTACAAATAATATTTACCTGGCTTAGGTAAGCATTTGGAAAACAACTGGTGTGAAAGAAAACTTTTCTAATTAGGGTTTTGAAAGTCAAAGGACACAGTGGGAGCTGTAGTCGCGTTGTGAACAAACAGCACATTGCCTAGGAACAAACTGCGGGGACCACGGCAGGCATGGCGCACCTGGGAGGAAAACCCTGGCTAACGCTAGGCACGTCCTTTTATGTCCTCTAAGTGCCTAATTTAGTCTAACTCCTCTGTGGGAAGAAAATTAAGAATCGACGTGTACTGAATTTCCTGCTAGACTGGCCGCCTGACTCTCAGGAGCCCAAGTCTATTTTCATCACAGTTATGGTCCAACAGCTTCACGCAAGATTGTTTAAAGGATAAAACTCTTTCAAAACTGTTATTATGCTGAGAAGTGGTTCTGTCTCCTCTGTGGGCGAGTCAGTTTTTAGGCCAAGACTAAAATGACAGAAGCATTTGTCCAGTTAGGAGCAGCCAAACCGAGTTCCCTGCCAAAGGCGTGCCCTTGGCTCCCAGAGCGGGAGGAGAGCAGCTCCAGTGAGTCATTCGCGTTGCTAGGCAACAGTGCTCTGAATGAGGTTAAAAATGCTTCAGTTTTCAAAAGAACAGGAAAGTTGGACCAGGAGAGAGGGCTGGGAGAAAGGTGCTTCACCGGGTTTTACGGGGCCCCGTCAGGGCAGGGGCACCTCCTGGCCCCCAGCTTCCCTCTCCCCTATGGTGCGGCAAGGACTTCCCTCACCTAAAGCAAGGGCACAGAGGACACCTGGGCGCTCCGGCCACCCCGCCAGCAAGCAGGGGCTCCCACTCCGACCAGGGCAGGTAGGAACACGAGCTCGGGACTCCGACAGGCTCAGTAAGGCTCCCGACTCGGCAACGGGCTAGCTGTGCGACCTTGGGGGAGGGTCTCTTAACCACTAAGTGTCTGCTGCAGTCACCCCTTCCACAAGTACTTATGGAATGTCATCTGTGGGCCCAGTGTGGTACAGGATACAGCATAACCCTCACTGGGGACAAGTCTGCCTGCACAGCCAGAGGTCCCCAGCCGAAGAGCTGACACCTGGGAGATGCTGCTCCGTGGAGGAAGAGGGGCAGACACTCTGCAGTCTCGGCCACACGCAGCTCGTCCCCCACTAGTGTGCAGGCCTCGTGAGGATTATGCAGCAGGGGGCTCAGCCACAGGTGACCATGGGCATGCTGCGCTTGTTACTGTGATCAACTGCCACCTCTCCGCAGCCTGCACACCAGACTGCTCTTTTCTGGGGGAGGGGCTGAAGCCTTGAGCTTTTAAGTGGCCTGTGTGGCCTAGATTTCCAGCATTCTGTGTCCCCAGGGGTAAGGATGAGAGGAACTATTTGAGAGCCTCAAATAAATAATAGCAAGTATTTATATTTTTAGGGAAGTCAATGTTGTAATTCAAAAACTTGCAGATTAGTCCCAGAATGTTAGTATATTCTAATTCTACACTCCCTTCTTCCTTCCAGCCTTTATTTCTTGCTCTCAATAGTAGACACCTGCTTTGTGCCCCACATCACCGCTCTTTTAACATAGCACCCGGTTTTGTTTGGGACAAACCATCTCTCCCCTATTCTCAGACCAGGTGTTAAGGTAAAGCTGACTTGCCCTGGGTCCAGGAACTGAGTACATGTCTTGGGCCCTAAGTTCCTTCCCTTCTGGCCACCAAGACTGATTCAAGAATGGGACATGACCTACAGTCAGGCCAACTGGAGCCAATGCCCTACGAGGGAAGCCGACTCCTTGTTTTAAACCTGGGAAGGTGCAGGCTTGAGCTGAAGTGGGCTCACTGTGCGGGAAGAGACGATCCGTGAGACGGCGAGTCCACAGGAAGCAGCACTGAGTGCTGGGAGTGGGGAAGTTAGTGCTGGGACACAGTTTGAGCTCTCGCTGAGCTGTGCCTGCAGCCAGCCTCCCCCCTGGTCTTCTCAGTTACATGAGAAAATACATTCTCTTTTTGGTTACGCTAGTTTAGATTCTCAGTCACAGGTAACAGAAAATGTCCTAACTGATACATTCTCCATTTCCCCAACTTACCAACGCAGCTTGACACCTAGATATCCACTTTCTTAGCAAGTACAAGAAAAGCCCCCCACTATGCCTCCCAGTCCCACAGCCTTCTCGTTCTTTGTCCCCTTAAGCCTGACTGAGAAAGGGACTTTAGGGGGCTGAGGCTGGCCCGTAGCAGGACTGATGCCTACTTTCTGTGAACATACTGTCAGCTGGTTTGGACTGTCATATGGACCTGGGATTTTAACATTGCTGGCAGCATTTTGTTATTTTCTTCATAAAAATCTATTGGTTGGACAGTAAGACAGAAGGCCCTGAAATACCCCTCACTCCACTATATATACACACAGAAGCAGCAGCACATCACAAATCCTTTAAAATATTAATACCTTCTTCATATTTTCAATATTTATTCTTAACCTGTTTAAGACTATATTTTGACTGACACCATCAGTCAAAACCAGCAAGTTAAAGCAAATTGGAATTGAGGAAGAAAACGAGAAAAATGTGAGGACCCACCAATCAAAGACCGAATAGGATTGTCCTCCTTTTCGATGCCTGAAAATTGACCTACGAGATTAGCTTGAACCTCAGCATTTAAAGTGGGTAAGCTTCTCTCCACCAGGGTCTTGTTAACCTCAGCACAAGTCTGAACACCGACAGAATTCAGGACTTCCTTCAAGTTAAAGGTCCTGCAAAACAGAAAACAAAATCCCATCAGGGAGAGTTTGAGTTTTTGTTCCTCAGTTTTACTGTTGTTGCTTTTTTAATATACCAACTTATTTAAAATATTTACCCATTTTTTCTTATACAGACAACAGTTACCTCTATTCCATGAACTTAGAAAATAATAACTCCTCCCAATCACCAACCCTTATTTGGAACAGATTTTTACATGCTTTAAACCACTCAGTTCTGTACATAGTGCTCATACAGACAAGCACAGGCAGAAAAATGTGGTCCCTGCATTTTCATGCAGGGCTATTAAAAAGGGTAAGAAAATACCTATTTTTAAAATAAACCCTTTGGTCTGAGTGGATTCATTCATAGATTTGTTTTTTTTCAGCTTGGAAAATGGGGTAAAATCAATTCCTTTATCTATGCCTGAGCAGTAAACCTATAACACCAATCAAAACAAGAAATGAAGAAATTCAGAGGTCAATATCATAAAGGCAAATTGCCTAAAACTCTTGACGTCTCATGACCCAAGGTAAGAAGCTCCTTCTCATTGCTACTTTCAAACAACTGATCAACAGTGCAAAGATAGAGTCCAGGAATTGTGAAAAGTATTTAGCGGTTGGTTATTTAACAGGGAAGGAAAAAGATAATTAGAAAGTGCATTTGTTGAGTCTACACTATTGGGGAATGATGATTGAAAGCTGCATCTCAGCATCCAGAAAGGGTCTTTAGGATAACTCTGTTTAAAATGGGAATTAAAGGGTGAGAGGCCCAATGACAGGAGGCAATGTAATGTAGCAGTTAAAGCATAAGCTGTGGTCACACAGGCCTGGGTTCAAATTCCAGCTCAAATACTAAACTCACTATGTGACTGTACTAGCTCTTGGCAGATTGTCAGGCACATAGTCAATGCTGAGTAATAAGAAGGAAAAAAGAAAAAGACTGTTTATCATTATTGACATCATGAACAAGAAGCAGCAGTAAGTCCTTGGTGTTCTCCCTTGACCGGACTTGGTTATAAATCCACACCAGACCTGCCTTTGGGGTTCTACAACCCAAAGTTAGAATATTTATGGCAAAATTTTTACCTTCTGACTTTTACCCATTTTCCTCCTGCTTTTAATCACAAATTCTTAGGCTAAAGGAAAAATTAATTCTGGCATAAGCCATGGCTTCCTAGTCACAATAACGAAGGCAAAATTCTTGATGGTTTTCAAAATGCATCATCAAACCAAATATAAGACACATCAGGGTCTACTGAGTATTTAGAATCACTTGCGTTTTTATATTATGTTATTACCCCATCCATAATGAGGACAATTGAGAATTGACTGTAATCATTTCCTAACACATGTGTGGGTGTGGGTGTGGGTGTGGGTGGGATTAAACAAAATAATAAAACAACCAGATAGGCAGAACAACTATAAAGAGAATGATTTAACAACTAAATAGATATCAAAAGCTAACACTTATTGAGCATTTGCTATGTGCCAGACACCTGTGGACATGTTTCACACAGATCACCTTGAGTTCTCACAACACCAAGACAGGCACAAATATCACTCCCTTTTTGCAAGAGAGGAAGTGAGGCTCAGAGTGATTCAGGAACTTGTTCGAGGGAATGTATGTAAGTCAATACCAGAGCTGGGATTTAAAAATCTAGATTTAGATCCAAAGACCTGTCCTCTTAGTAGCCACTCTGTTACATGCTTTATATTAATACTTCAGTAGCATTGGTGTTTCAGTAAAGGTTTAAAAAGTTTCTAGAAAACGATTGTCCAGTGTGAGGAAAGGCTAAGATAAAACCAATTGCAAAAACAGAGGTTTCTTTTCATTATAGGTCTTGAGTGTGAAGTAAATGAGCGTGGCAGGTTAGCATAAGAATCAGTAGAAAGGAAATACCGGGGGGGAACACTTTGTAAAGTATACGATTGTCTAGCCACTATGCTGGACACCTAAAACCAACACAAAATAATATTGAAAGTAAACTGTAATTGAAAAATAAAACTAAAAACTAAAAAAAAAACCCAATGTATTTTTAGCTTTAATAATAATTTTAATATTTAAGATTGGGTTTGTTCAGAGATTATTCTCATAGAGCATGACTATGCCAATTACTCTCCAGAACGTTTTATAATAGTTTTATAATATTAAAAAAGTATTCAGAACGATTAAAAAAATTAATACAACGGGCAGGGCCTTGAGTCAGGCCTTGGTTTGCCCTTTTCTTGATGTGCAGCCCAACGCAAATCCTTGGGCTTCAGTTCAGAGTGAGAACACTGGATTTTGTAACCACTCGGGCTCCTTTTGGCTCTTAATATTCTAGGACTTTATGAAGTAATTTATGTGCTCTTTGTGTAATAGGAGGGAGTTTGGGAAAATAGGTGCATCTCCCTCCCTTCAGTGAGAGGAGTAGCGTACATGTCCCTGAAAACACCTAAAAGGGGAACCAACCAGCAGGAGGCGCTTAACCCACATAAGATCCATGGAAATATGCAGTCTTTGGCTAAGATTAGGAATTTTGTGACTTGGACAGGATTCCCAGCAGGATGACCTAAATGCAAAGTCTCAGTGGGATTCTAGTGTTCAATGAAGGTGTGACACTGGGAAACGGATTTCATGAAAACAAAACCTTCCATGAACTTGTGTAACATCCCTAAGGGACAGAGAGGTCACTACTTCTAAAGATTTCATAGCACGTGGGATCAGTAAAGCCGGTAAACATTTCACTACAGAAAAACGATGGTGTCAGGACTACTTAATCTGGAAAGCCTCTTTGATGGGGCATTCTGAACACCGAGCTAGGTGGATTTCTGGTTCCTGTTTTTTTCCACGTCACTGTCAAAGGAGAGCTTTTGTACACACCCATCCTCAGTGGAAATGCTACACTCACCCTGGCACTTGTCATGGAAAAGACCTCTTGCTTCCGATGAAAGGACATCTAAGCCTCCAGAGATATTAAAAGAAATTCTAGAAAAAGGTGTGTGATAAGCCTCTCTAAACCACAGTTCTGAATATCACATCCAGATGCCCAAGGTTATTCACAGTCTCTGAAACACATGCAGAGCCTAACACGAGGCGGAGCAGATGAAAACACTTGGAACTTACTCTTTGCTCATGCCTTCGAGTAGAACAGCCGAAATCCTCTTCAGCCTGTCTGCAAGCTCAGGTAGGCCTTCGATAATAGCACCCAACATATTGTTGGTAATGAGGGACAGGCAGGCGATAATTTTCAATTGATTCAGCTTTTCTGTCAGTTCCTGGAGACGTGCTTCATCTGTTATCAGCGTCTAGCATATTTATTTAAAAATGGAGAAATAGAAAGGAACACTCAATACCATCAAAATGTACAATAAGCAATAGTATATCCAAACTCCCATTTTTTATCTGATTTCAGTAAAGTCATTACACTACAGGCAACACACATAGACCCTCTGATTCGCAGTTAGAATGTAAAAATGAAAATAATGGAAAACTTGAGGGAAGAAAAAAAAATCACTCACCTCTGGAAATTCTTTTTTCTGATAATCCCACTGCAACAGTTTCAAATAACTGTTATTTAGCACCAGGGTAGGGCTCAGGCTTGGCTTGGAGCTGGTTTCAGCCCCAGGAGTTAGAGCGGTCTCGGAAGCAGAAAGTAATTCTTCATTTACAGATTCTTTTATCCATTTTGTAGTTTTATCAAGAGCACCTACAAGTGGAAAAGGCCACACATTTGTCCTACAACTGATGGATCCCTGCATTTGTGCATTCTTCAGGACAGATGCTGTGCTAGGTGCTGGGCACGAATGAAGACAGTCATACCCCTCAAAGAGTTTACAGTCCAGATGGGAAGACAGACACGTAAGCTAACGATTACAGCAGAAAATAAAGAATACTAGAGGCACAGTGGAAGTGGAGGGAGCAGAGGATGTCCAGAGCAGAGTCTAAGAGAAAGAGCTGTGACACTTGAAGACACACAGCAAACAGAAGAAAGGGCTGTCACCCCAGGCCAGGAAAACAGCCCATACAAAGACCCCCAAAAGTGACAGAATATGGTTCATTCTGGACGGACCAGCAAATCTGTATTGTTGGTTCATAAAGAAGTAGGGGGAAGAGAGTGGCAGCAGATGGCACTGGCTGAGTAGACAGGCCAACTCACACACAACCTTGAGTTTTGTGCAGAGAAGGTATTTAGAATAAAGGCATTGATTATTAAACATTTCTGGGTCCTGGACCCCTCTAAGTGACTGATTAGAGCTATGTCTTTCCCAAAATGCATGTGCATTCTGATGTGCACACTTTATTTTACTTTAGACTCAGTACTAAGGTTTCCCACTAGAAACAAGTTGCTTTTTATACTACATTTCTTATAAAAGTAGTATTTGGTAGAACTTATAAGGCAGCAACTGCTAAAAAATGCAGGTGCATCTGAACACAGGTGCAGATTTTTTTTTTTAAAGCCAGAGAAAAAAATAAAGAATTGTTGCCCTGAAATTCTTGCTGAGACCTGGTACTTAAACAGGGGTAATTTATGAGTAGCTCTGTTTGCCACACTAAAGCTACAACACTCCCAGAATTTCACAATTTTGTTTCTCCTCAGTTGGCAAATTGTTCTTGGTTTTTCCAGTTCTGTTTATAAAGATGTAAAGGACTTTCAGTCTTACTTAAAAGATATCCAACAGAGAGAGTGTGTGCAGAAATCATCATGGATATAATTACAATGTGGCAGTAATAAGCATTTATATTGCACGGGTAATCATTTACAGCTAACACATTTAAAAGGCCATTTTGTTATTTCAAACAAAAGCAAGAGTACAGCATAGTGGTTCCCAATCCTGGTTGACTTTAGAATCATCTGGGAAGCTTTAAAAAGAAAAAAATGATCGTGGGCACAGCTCCTGGAGATTCTGATTTAATCAGTCTGAGATGGGGCTCAGGCATCTGTGTTCGAACACCCTGGGTGATCCTAATATGTAGCCAGAATCAAGTACAACTGGTAAAGCAGAAAGAGCAAGAGTTTAGACTGAAACATTGGGTTTCTCTAAGGGATCTGCTGAGATTTCACTTCACCAACTAGAACACTGACTGCTCTATGTGGCTCTAAAAGCAAGGTCAAATCCACGAGGCACTTGTACCCTAGGTCTTTCATGGGGACAGTAATAAGAGTCTCTCTATCCACTCATTAATTCAATGGTAACTGAGCACCTGCTACACACCAGGCACTGCACCAAGTGCTGGGGAATCACAGATGAGTAAATACAGTCCCTGCACTCAACAAGCTCCTAGTCTACTCAGAGAGAGAAACACAAGAGCAGGCAATGGCTTTACAGGTGTGTTTACCTAAGAATTTCCCAGGAGCAGTGGAGACCCAAGAGCACTTAACCTGACTACTCCCCACCAATATGTGCTCCTGATTTCCTGCCAGGGAGGCTTGGCCTAACCCCACCCCCACCCCCATCGCCCAGAAACTCTCTCTGGTTCCTAAATCCTAATCCTGTCAGTCCTTAGTGGCCCAACCCAAAGCCCTCTTCCTATAGGACGCCCATCTTGATTATATGGATCAATCTCGTCTCCCTTCTCAGGATGAATCTGAATTTTCAATTGGCTGTCATTTCTCTTAAACAGCTGAACTGAAAACCAGCTTCTCTATTTTTAAAAAATTGTCATTCAACATTTCATGTGCTTTCGTCTCATTTTCATCTCACTGGTGAGATCACTGAGAGTCCAAACTGCAACCTTTGTTTCTCCTTCCTTTGATTTAGCTCACAGCACAACCTGTAGGTGTGTGAAATGTTTGGCTTTGTCTTGGCAGGCCCACTTACTTTAGAAACCGATCAGATATTTTTCTAGTTGTATTTGTCACACAGTAGGTGCTTCTCAAAAAGCCTCTGCTCTCTATATGTGGCATGAGAGACTTGGTAGGCTTCTGATTTAATTCACCATCCCTGAAGGCAACCACGGGCTAAAGATTGGCTCAAACAGTCTCCTTTGAATTGACAACTGATTTGATCCTACATGTCTGCATTTATCTTTCCTTTTCCACTCTCATCCAGTAAAATGTTTACTAATATACACAGTGTATGCAAATCAAACTAAAACACACAGGGTGCTTTTCAAACTCTTTCAGAAAGCAGAGGAGGGAACACTTCCCAAATTCATTTTATGAGGCCAGCTTTGCCCTGACACCAAAATCAGGTAAAGACATTACGAGAAAATTACAGAGCAATATCTTTCATAAATACAGATGCAAAAATCATTAAGAAAGCATTAGCAAGGCAGATAAGATTAAGCTAATAGACAAGAACCAATGGGTGGGATAAACATCTCAGGACTGCAAGGTTGGTTTAATATTAGAAAAAAATCAATCACTGTAATTTACTAACATTAATACAATAAAGGGGTGGGGGTGCAGATCACTTTAGTATGTGCAGAAAAAACATGTGACCAAATATCTCTCAGTCTGCTAGAACTAGAAGAAAACATCCTCAACCCGAAAAAGAGCATCTATGAGAAGCTACAATTAACATCATACTTAATGGTCAAAAAATGAACATTCTTCCCCTAAAAAGGCAACAATCCACTCTCTCACAACTTCTATTTAACATTTTGATTGGAGGTCCTAGCCAGTGCAATATGGCAAGAAAAAGAAATAGAAGGTATAGAGATTTAAAAAAAGAAGTAAAACTGTCTTTGTTTACAGGCAACATGATTGTATATAGAGAAAAGCCTGCATGATACTCCAGAAAACTATTAGAATTAATAAGTTAATTTAGCAAGGTCTCAGGGTGCAGTCAATATTTAAAAACCAATTATATTTCTATATACTAGAAAATAAAAATTTTACAAAATATCATTTATAATAGCATCCCTGTTGATTTCTAATATGGTATATAAGCATGAAATATGGAACCTACCTAAACATAATATGTGACCCCTAAAAAGGCAACAGTTCTACATCCTGAATTTGGGGAGTGGCCAGCCTCACTCTTGGCCTTTATAATTCTGAGCAGGCACCATTCACATAAACTGAGAATGGTGCAGATATTGGGCAAGGTTTCAGATGTCCCCCATTTTCAATATTCTGGAAAATATGCAGACCAAATACCCATTTTTCAGTTAGAAGAATATAGTTCTCTTACCAACGACATTTGCTCTTTTGTGCCTAGAGACACCTCACCTCCCTTCTTTTGGTACTGATTTTCTTTGAGAAACCATTTTCCCTTGCTCCATGCTTCCTTTTGTGACTGTCAATTAAGAGGCCCTTGACCAGGGGTTGGCCTGAATCACATGCCCATGAGACTCTTACCTGGGCCTCTAAACGGTGACTACAGCCTTCAAGGATGACCCATTTTGAGGTACACATAAACCATCCTGACTGCAGAGCCCAGGAGCTTTTTCTTGTTTTTTTTTTTTCCTAACCGATTCCTGACACTCTCTTGTTTCTGGTCTTGCTCAGGGTAGGTATTTTAGCTTTTCTGTATTTTAGCTTTAGCTTCCATCCTTCCATTCACTTCCTTTTTTGCTAAATCAGCCAGAGTTGATTTCTGTTGGTTGCAATATAACCCAGCTCATATAAGACAAAACTGAATAATCAAAGAGAGTTGCCAAAGCAGCAGCTTGTTTAATCCTGGTGTAGCTATGGGAACCCTGGCTTCCAGTCCTAGCTCCACTACTTATTAGCTGTGTGATTTTGTCTTTAGGCAGGTCATGGCTGAGCATCAGTTTGCTCATCTCTAAAATGTTCCATAACTATATCCTGAATGCCTTGTATGCCAGGCAAAGACAACCATAATGCAGTACAATGTACTTTTAAAAAATATTTATGGCTCATAGAATTTTTGAAAGAATCACATGAGGTTCATGAGAACATTTTATCAAATGTAAAATATCTAAATAAATGAAACTTTTTTCTTTCTGAGTATTTTAAAAATTGCTTGTGGTATTGCCCCTTCAGGAGTAATTTGTTACTCTTTCTACAGGTGATTTAGTTTTTGGATTTAATGTGGTTATCTTTTTGATGCTTAATACATGCACCAATCATTGCCAAGGACTTTCTTGGGTATATTTTATTTTTATCCTATCCCATTCTTTTAAAAAAAATTTAAATATTTTTACTTAGATATAACTGACATACAATAAACTGCACACATTTAAAGTGTACAATTTGATAAGTTTTGATATATACAACCATCACCACACTTAAGATAATGAACATATCCATCACCCCCAAGAGATTCCTAGTGGTCTTTATAATCATCCCCACTTCTCCCTCCCTCCTACCCCCAACCTCACCATCCCCAAACATACTGATCTACCTTCTGTGACTAGATATAAATTCACTTTGTCTACAGTTTTATAAAAATGAAATCATATTGTATGAACTTTTTTTTACAACATAGTGATATTTATGTAACTTAAGAAGTGATCGCCCCAATAAATTTAGTATCCATATAACACCATATATACAGGGTGGGGGAAAAGTAGGTTTACAGTTGTGAGTATGTGAAACACAGTTTATTCTTGTTTATTTGTTATTATATTATTTTCCATACAAACTGTAAACCTACTTTTGCCACATCCTGTGGTTATTACAATATTATTAACGCTATTCCCTATGCTATACTTTACATGCCTGTGGCTATTCTGTAGCTATCAATTTGTACTTTATTTTTTCCCCCCTCACCTCAGGATATGTTTTTATTGATTTTAGAGAGAGAGGAAGGGAGAGAAAGAGAGAGTACATCTATCGGTTGCCTCTCATACACGCCCAGACTGGGGATCGAACCTGAAACCTAGGTATGTGCCCTGATGGGGAATCAAACTGGCAGTGTTTTAGTGTACAGAATAATGCTCCAACCAATTAGGCCACTCAGCCATGGCCTGATTTACGCTTCTTAATTCCTCCCCCTTTTTCATCCATCCCCCTAATACCCCTCAAATCTGGCAATTGTCAAAATGTCCTCTGAATCTATGAGTTTGTTTCTATTTGTTCATTTATTTTGTTGCTTTTTAAAAATTCCACATATAAGTGAAATCTCTTGGGTGTATTTTAAACAAGGCAGATGCATATATAAAATATCTCAGTCAGCCAAGTAAAATCTGTTTTGTAGTTAATTCAGAAACTCAGAATACTTCTCTATATTAATTTTCCAATAATTATTTTATAAAAATCATGCACACAAAAATATCCAACATTTTTGTCTTTCTGTGTGATACTGTGAGGCTCTTATTTTGATATTAGGGCACAGTGGCCGACTTTTGGCAGTCAGGTAAGGATATAATTAACACCTGACATACACTTGACTTCTCTGGGAACATATTTGGAGCTGGGCAATAATGACCTATATATATGCACAGCAGGATTTATTCTATTCTTAAATCTCTGGAAATATCCAAGTCAATGTGAAAGGTGCAAATGAATTACAGGACACTAAACCTAGGTTTTAAGGAGAGAAACAAATCATTTGAGATTAACAAAACTCTAATCAACCCTATATTAAGGAATTTGCTAAGATTCCAAGCTATCTTTATTCAAAACATGGAGACATTTGCACATATTCCTGCATAGTTTCAATTTTGCTGGATCCTTCTCTTTAGCTCTAGATGCTCTAGAATCCCAGGTCAGGCCCCTTCAGTGCCTACACTCATTCCCTAGGTCATCTCATCCAGTGTAATATTGTGGATAAGAGCATGGGCCATGGAGCCAGACTGCCTGGGTGAGTCCCAGCTCTAAAATGTACAAGTTGTATTATGGAGGCAAGTGGTTTAACCTCTCTATACCTCGGTTTCCTCATCCATAAAATGGGGAGTGAGTTCCTAAAGTTATTATAAAGATTAAATTAGTCAGTACAGGTAAAGAACTTAGAATGTGGTAAGCATTTTATACATGTTATCTAGTTCCGTGGCTTCATCTACCATAAATACACTGATGATTTCCAAATGTATATCCCCATTCTCCAATGCTCTAGTCCCACATTGAAAGGCCTACCTGACATCTCAATGTTGATGTCAAACAAGACCTCAGAGATCATATATCTAAAACTGAACTTGATTCCATAGCTTCTCCTAACCTCCTTTCCCCCCATCTCCCCCATCTCCCTAACAGGCATCACTATTCATCCAGTTGCTCAGGTGACAACCTCAACTCCTCTTTTTTCCCTCATCCAACTTTCAGAAAATCTTGTTACTCTACTTCCAAAATACACCCAGAACATGACCTCTTCTTACCACTTCCACCACGACCACCTGACCAAGCCACCATCATTTCTTGCCCCAGCAACTACAATACCACCTAACTGGTACCCTGGCTTCCCTCTTTGCTCCCATATAATCTATTCTCTACCCAAGAGCCAAAGTATTCTTTAAAAATGAAAATCAGATGTTGCTCCCCTGCTCAAAACTCTCCAAGGACTTCCCATCATCCTTGGCATGAAATCGAAATTCCTCTCATTTCCTGACAAGGCTCTATATGCAGGGTCTACCTCTTGGCCTCATCTCTAAGCTCTCTCTCCTTGCCTGCTCTAGGCCAGCCACACTGTCTGCCTGTGTGTGTCCAACCTCACAAACAAGTTTCTGCTTCAGGACCTTTGTGTTTGCAGCTGCTCTGGCTGGAACGTTCTTCCCTCACATCTTTACATCCCCCTTCCTCACTCCTTTGCAAACTCTGTTGACATGTCACTTGTGAGAGAGGCCTTCCCAGTCCACCTCATCTAAAAAAAAAAACACTCCCCACCCTCACTCTTGCACCATTCCCTCTGCCCCTTTATCCTATTTTCCTTCACAGCACTTAACAACACAGCTGATAATATAAGTTTGTCTACTAGAATGTCAGCTCCTTGGGGCTCACAGCTGTATTCTGTTTTGTTCACTGCAGTATCCACAGCACCCAGGCAGTGTCTGGGACACAGCAGGTGCTCAATAAATATTGTTTCTCATGTGTAAAGAAATGAATAGTGCTTAGCACAGTTCCTGGGACATAGAAAACAATTATAAGTTTGTTATGTCAATTTTAAAAGTTAAAAAAATGTTTCACTGAAAGGCAAAAATTCTTTAGTGACACTTCTTAAGATGTCAAAAATAAAATATCGTATTTTCACCTAATTTCAACATAAATATACAATATCTTGTACTTACTTGGAGTTTCTTCCAAAATTTCCTGGAACTTGGTTCTCTCATAATCCACCAACTGCCGCTGAAAATGTGGTCTAAAACTCCTAATTAGAAAATTGGCCATGTCCATATTCATGAGGTCCAGAACATGAAATATTTGTCTAAAAATTTTAGAGTTAAAATAGTTAGAGAGGTGATTAAGAAATTAATCTGAAATTCATTAACTTTTACTGATTTTCCAGGCTGGTAAAAATAAACATCCCCCAAATGGTTTTTAAATTCCAATAGCCATTTGGCAAGGTCACTTTTCATAGAAGGCATTAGACATGCATTCCAAATGTATTCTTCTACAGCTCCCAAGAGTATTTGCTTTAGCAAATACACTACTTCCAGCTGAGCCATTACATACAGTCCTGAACTGATAGAAAGACGCTATGAAGTATATACAGTGATTCTTAACAATGAGATTAAAAAAAAAGGTTCAAGAAGGAATTTTCACTTGAGAGCTCCTGAAATTTTAAAGAGTCTGAACATAATATATATGGTTTCTATTCCAAAGGGAGTAAGAAAAAAGACAAGACAAGAAAGGACAGGGTGCTGAGGTACAGGAGAAAATAGTTCCTTTTAAAGTTGGGCAGCCCGATGCTCAAACCCAGCTCAGCGACCAGGCACAAATTACTCAATCTCTCCGAGCCTCAGTTTCTTCACCTTTGAAAAGAGAAGACAAGATCAACCTTGGAGGATGTTGTGAAGAGTCAATGAGATAATGAATGTAAACTGTAGGGGACAGTGGCACCCAGTAGATGCTTAATGAATGACCAAGATTTGCTATCACTACATGGGTAATAAGATAACTAGAAGCAAAGATACTGCAACTGAAGAATGAAAATTTGCCAAAGCTGAGCACAACTCTAAGGGTGCATAAAACCCATTTTACAGATGGGGAAAAGTGACTTTGAGAGGTGTCAACTTGCCCAAGGTCATAAAGTAAGTTACCTCCTACATGCAGTTTCCTTCTCCTACCTTTCCAATACTATTACATAAAACTTACATATCAACATGGCTATATTCACACACACAAAAGAAAAGTTCCCCTCAATGGCAAAAGGTGTTGCAGACTCCTCCTTCCTCTACAATCACAAATAAATTATTGTCTGCACAGCCAGATTACATTCTCACTTCCTCAGGGAAGCTGTGGCAGAATGGTTAGCTGACCACCAAAGATCCATGCCCCCTTTCCACAGTGTGGATTTGTGGTTGGGAAATGCGTTTCCAGACGGCAACCACATTTCCCAGGCCTCCTTCAATCTAAGGTGGGACCTTAGGACTAGTCAGTCAGTGGAAGGTGTCACTTCTGGGCTGAGGTAGTTAACCACTGGGTATGCCCTCCCCATGACCTCCTTCCTATTTACCAGCTGAGTGTAAAGGACCCTACAGACCTGGGCAAGGGTGGTGCCAATGCAAGTAGGAGCCTGAGTCACTGATTGACATGCGGAAGGCTGCCTGACAAAAACCCCTGACTTGGACCGTGACATGAATGAGAAACTAATTTTTATTGGTTAAATCACTGAGAATTCGTGGTTGTGTTATAGCAGCTAGCATTACCCTAATAAAGGAGCCTTTCTAGATCCTTGACTAGGCCCTCCTGCTGGAGGCTCTATTAACCTTCTACTTCCCCTTCCACAGCACTTACCTCAGTTGTACTTCCTTGTTCAAGGTCCATCTCCCTGCTAGACTGTAAACTGCCATGGGCCAGGGGCTGTCGCTAGCTTGTTCATCACAGCATCCCTAATGCCCAGCACATGCCAACCAACAACCTTGTTAGATCATTCTATCTGAAAACTTTATGCACACAGCAAAGGGCTGACTTAAATCCTTGTTTATTTGTTATTTTTCCTAAGAGCAAGGATTCCTCTGAGAGACCAGTTATTATTCTGTGTCCCTCAATCCCCACACTTCCCTTCTGTGCGAACTCGAACGTACTCTAAGGAAATGCAAGTAAGAAAAGTGCTAACCTCAGCACCTCCACAATGTTGCCAGTAGCCTTTAACTTTCTGATATCATCATCTCTCACGGGAGCACACAGCTTTCCCATTGTACTGATGATATAGTTGGCCAGGCCTTGGATGTCAACAGCGCCGTGCTCAGCCTGCTGCCTAATGAGGTCTGTGTCCAAAACTTCACAGATCTGGTTGCGAAGCCGGTTTCCACTACCAGGAATCAGAAAAGAGAGAAGAATCTACACAGGGAAAGGAAAGAAAAATTAACAGCAGCATTACATGAGTAAAGGCTGTTATTTTTTATTTCAGTATCTAGATGACCAACCTCCCTGTCCATATTTTAATGCCCTGGATGCCACAGAAGTTTACATGGAATGGGTGGTAGATCAGTGCACTCCAGTGTCTCAACTCTAAAAAGAAAGGTCTAGCTTCTGAATTAAAGTCCCCTCCACTTTTCAAGGAAAATTAATGATTCTCTCAAAATAAAAGCAACTAGTAAGGAAGCAATATTACTGAAAGAACCTCAAAAGGTTTACAGATAAACTGTGCAAAGAAAGAACAAGTTGAAGAATCCATTAAAGAAGAGCAAACAGAATCCCCCCCCCCATCCCCACCACGGGCTCCATGGGTATATCATATTTTACATATCTTTATTATATATTACATAAGCCACCTATATTCAATACTCAGTACATAGCAGACATGGTACTTATACACATAGCACATGGGCAGGAGCACTCTGAGCCAAAGTGCCTCAGTTTCACACCCCCTTCCACCCCTCAAAGCTGTGTGACCCTGGGCAAGTCAGGGAACTTGGTTTCTTTATATAAAATAATAGGTGTAACTATCTCACAGTGTTATGGTGAGGATAAATGGACAGTCTGATGCTTGGCACAGAGCAAGTGTCTTGTTAATGTCAGCTAAAACCATAACTGTCACCTCATTTAATCCTTACAACAACCCTGTGAGTACTCAGGAAATAAGACTTAAAGACGGAGAGGCCATCACCAAACCAGGACTATCTAACTCCACAGTCTGTTCTTAACCACTACAACCACTACTCTGAGTGCTAAGCATCACTCCAAGTTCCCTCCATTGCCCCATTTTCCCAGCCTCCACCCTACTCTAGGTGGCAAAGGAAAAATCCCTCCCAGTGATTAAACTTGCTCAGTTTTTCAAAAAGAGTGATACTCTTCAGAGTACATGAAAATAGTCTTTGGGGGAAAACAATTACTAATTAACACAGACAATGTCAACTTGCCTCTCTGATTTCTTCAAACAGTTTGATGGCATGGTCATACTCGGGAGGCTCAGCATTTAGTTCTGATTCCAAGACGTCCCAGTAGGCCTGGTGGACAATGCGCTTCACTCGGCTGGCCAAGCTAGAGGAATGATAGGGATTGTTTTTTAAAATGAACATTGTTTTCCCTGTTTATAAAAGGAATATGTTCATAGTAGAAATTTTAGAAAATGCAAAAAACAAAGAATAAAAATTGCCTATCATCACATTATTTCCATCTTTTATGTATTGTTTTAACATAGAGTACCCAGTACGTACAATATTATATAGTTGTTTCATTTAATATTCTATCGTGTTTCCCCTAGACTTTTAAAATGCTTCCTTCCTATAGATTTCAATAAGTTTATAAAATTATCCTAAGGAGATACCGTAATTTACCTAGCTACTCTTTTAAAGATTCTTAGACTTGTTCTAGATTTTTGGGATGAGATGGCAAAGTTGCTCTTTCCTCAACAGCTGAAGTTTCGTGGCACAGAACAGAACAGATTGGCCCCAAGGAGGCACGTATTTGAAAGCCTGCCAATTTCAGCTTCGATGTCCCATTTAAAGTTAGCCGAACCAAACTGCTGAAATAGCTGCTTCCTAGGAAGAGCTCACAATAGAGGAGATGGCCACCTTGCTTTACCCCTTAAGTCAATGCCCTAAAATAGGTGCACACTAAAATACACATCCCTACTAAACTGCACCATTAGGCAACAGCTTTGAGATCAGCACATACTTCCCTGCCCTAGAATTACTTGCCAGTCTCTATGCCCCTAACCTAGGAGTGTAGCAGTAGAGCTGCTATAAAGGGTCATGAGGAAGTGCAGTTATCATGGAAACCAGACACACCTAGTTTGGCCAGTAATCTTAAAAAATATTAAGCATTATTAGGAACATCCCCAGGAGGAGGACTATGACCCACATTTTATATTTAAAAAATTTTTATGTTTACTATTGCCCTGCTTTAAAACAAACAAAAAAAGCTCTGAATGGAATCAAATTTATGTTGTCTTAAGTGATAGAGAGAATGCCTCTTGGTTTACAAATGGCACTGTGAGGTTGAAGGTTCAGTGCCATTCCCATGAGCCAACTTTGCCTCTGAAGATGATTTGTCTGTAGCAATCTCCACAAGCCTTTCTCCACTTTGGCCCGGCCACTGAAGCCAGAGAGGGTGAGGAAGGATATATGGGTGTGTATATAACTGAAAGTGCCTGTGGTGAGGTTAAATAGGGGAGCCTATGTAGTTGTGATTCCCACATGCAGAGGATTCTGGATCACCTGTTCTTAGCACTCTGGCAACTCAGCTGCATTTCTTTATCTTTCACAATGTAAATATCAGTTTTTAATAAGTCAACCTGCAAAGATTTCTTGAGCATGTATTATATGTCAGGTACTCTGCTAGGTAATAGGGAGAGAGCAAACAAGACAGGCATAGTTAATGGTGCTTTGGGTCAAGTGGGAAAGACAGACATTGAACATAAAATTGTAAGACGTCATAACAAAGGGGAGGTAGAAGGGGCGACAGGAGTCTTTAACAAGGGGATGTCATGTAGTCTACTGGGCTCAGGAATGTCAGGAAAAGCTTCCCTCAGGAAATGATCTATAAACTGAGTTCTAAAGATTATGGGTAACATGTACCCCAGAGGAATGGTTTTAAAAACAACTATAGGACTTTGTTACGGAACTAGATAATGTTTGTTCCCACTTAGTGTTATACTTGCAGAGAACTTGCAGAAATCAGTGTGACTGTGTGTGTACACAATCTGCAGTACAGTTTACACACAACAAACACCTCTAGGTTACCTGTTCTCAGGGAGGGCATCTTTTTTCAATTGAAAGTTCTCATTGACAGCAATTTCATGAACAAGAGTCAGGTTTTCTAAGTTCCTTGCTGTGCCCATCACTTCATCAAATGTTACAACCCTGGGAGGGCTTGCTGCTGAGAGAAAAGCAAAAACCAGTGAATGTTGTGGAGGAGAAGTTGTCATCCAATGAAGCCTCCTGATGCAGCCAGAGCGTAAGTTATTCCAACATATATTTTCAGGACTTTATGAGTAAGAAGAATATATACTAAAACAGGTGGATTCCCCTGCTTAATATTTAAGACTTCAAAAATTGAAGAAATCCTTTGATAGTTTCAGTTACTGCATTGAGAAATTTTCACTGTTTTTGAGATAATCTTAGTAATATAAGCTAAGTTAATTTTAAAATTAAATCACCTCATTTTTGTGCCTACTATATTTGCATTTATTACATGTAATATACAGGAAATTGATGACTACTTTTTATTCTGTAATTCATAAGTCTCATTAATTTAAGCAGACTTAATATGAAATAACTGACTTTTATTTTTCAATCCTCACCTGAGGATATTCTTTTATTGATTTTCAGAGAGAGTAGAAGGGGGAGATAGGGAGAGAGAAACATCGATGTGTGAGCAGGGTTGCTTCCCACTCATGCACCGGGCCAGGGATTAAGCCTTCACCTGTGGTACGTGCCCTCGGTCGAAATTGAACCCAGGACCCTGCAGCCCAAGGGCTGATGCTCTAACTACTGAGCCAATCCGGCTAGGGCTGAAATAACTGACTTTTAAAAACTATCATTTCTAGCCCTGGCTGGTTTGGCTCAGCGGTTAGAGCGCTGGCCCGCAGACTGAAGGGTCCCGGGTTTATTCTGATCAAGGGCACGTACCTCGGTTGCAGGCTCGGCCCAGGCCAGGGTGCTTGCCTCCAGCAGGCGGTTGATGTTTTTCTCTTACATTGACATCTCTTTCTCTCTCCCTTCCACTCTCTCTAGAAAGCAATGGAAAAAATGTCCTCGGGTGAGGAAAATAAATAAATAAATAAAATTTTAAACTATAATTTCTAAAAATATAGGCAGTATAGCATAACACTTAGGTTTGGCTCTAAGTTTTGCCAATTGGTAGTTATCTGACTTTACTGAGGCATAACTGGCCTCCTCATAGGGCTGTTCTGAGGTGACAAAATAAGATCATTTAGGTAAAGAAGAACATAGTAAGAACTCAATAAATTGTAGATAATTAAAATAAATCTGATAAGCTTCATAATGTACTTCTCAGAAGAAATTAATAAATAATTATTTATTCATAAAGATTATTCTAAAAATTATTCTAATAAATCAGGTCCTTTTGAAATCACTGTTGGAACTCTTAGCTCCTATTAATTAAAAATTATTACCTCAAACAATAGTACTGACTAGCAACCTTTTGCTAGAGGAAGAGGAGGCGGAGGAGGAAGGAATGGTGATAACACAGGATTAGTAAAATCCTTCTTCAGGATTCCTCGGTACCCTTTTATAGGTATCAACGCTGTGCACAGTGTAAAGAGTAAGAAAAAGCTCAGAAAACTGGGTAGCTGCTAGCAAATTCTTTTGCTAATTCTCTGTCCCATTAAGAATTTCCTTAACAATCAATGTCTGTATTCTTTGGTCCAATAATCCAATTATATCGAAGGAATTCCTGGAAAGGCTTTATGCACCAAGGTATGCATACAACACTATTTGTAACGGAAAAAAACAAACAAAAAAACACAACGAACTAAATGTCCAATGATAAATCAATGGTTAAATATATTTAATTGTATATTCCCTCGATGAAGTAGTAAGTAGTTATAAAAACAATGTTTTAAAAATATATTATAGTGAATAAATAAAAAATAAAGATACGAGGGCACACTGCCAGCTGTCACCTTTGGGTGATATTACAGGCAATGTTTTCTTTCCTCTACACTTATCAACTTCCCAATTTTTAAAAATGAGAATGTACAAATTTAAAGGAAATTCAAATGAACCAACTTTTTTGAAGTGGGCATTTGATCATATTAAGCATGAGTTGCTTTTTTTCTGCATTTGCTTTTCAGCTTAAGTGTGACATTTTCTATATAAAACGCCAATTAAAAGGCTTTAAAAAAAAGACACACCAGGTTTACACATCTCTAGCTCCCACACTCAAAAAACGAAAGGAAGATGACTCCCTTCACCAGGGCCACTCTTTTAATGCTTTCTCACCCTCCTGGTGTAGTAATTCTCCTTATGGGTACTCTTCTGGGGTGATTTGCACAACAGTTTTTGAAATCAGCAGGAAACCCTTCAGATTATTTCACTTCCTCCCTGACCCTTGAATTGGGGCAACTTTCCTTTCATGTCAATCAGAAATGATCAGAAAAGACCAATTTCAATTCATCCTTAAATGTGGCCTACTAAGTGATGTCAAAGACTGGTTTTCCACTTCTTGAGAATGACAGGTGGGGTTGATTTATAGTCAGACCAAAGCAGGTCAGACACAGTGATGAAAGTAAAAACGGGCAGGTGGTCAACTTCAGCGGCTATGTGTCCCTGAGAGCTTGTACAGGTAGCTGCAGGGCCCCTGCAGTCCTATTCAGGTCTATCTAGAAAGACGGGGAAGTCTGTCCTCTGATCTCAGTCATTTAGTTTCAGAATCCAGCTCACAGGTCTAGAACCACCCTGCTGCCCCGGCCTCTGCTCCCTGTCAGCTTACATGCAGGAGAGCTGGATTTGCTGGAGGAGTCGCTGGTGAAGCTCTGCCTGGAGCACTCGTAGTCACTGAGCGAGGCCATGCTTTCGGAAAACCGGGAAGAATCTGAGTCGCTTGGCTGGTCCTCACCCACACACTGCTTCTCGTCATTGAAGGGCATTTTGTGTTACTTGAGTGTGGGGTAAAGAGATGGTACCTGCATAGACAAACAGACCTATGTCAATATTCTGTGGTACTTCACTGGTAGTGCCAATGTTTCCTCCTGTGTAGACACCGTGTCGCACGTGTCATAGTGTTGGAAAGGCTATCAGAAGATGGCCGCATGCTTCCCATAGCACCCAGCCAGGCTGTCACTAGGCCCTCAAGACTGCCTTCAAGAAAAGGGAAACCACAGCCACAGGGGTGAGCTTACTCAGGACATACTCAGTGTGGATGTGAACTCTCAGTAGTAACGGATCCTTAAGAAACAAAGCAGAGTACACAATCTCTCCTCCTGGACCGCTAAAACACGGGAAGGTAAGAGTAAGAGTGTGGTGCTGGCCCAGCTGGCGTGGCTCAGCGGTTGAGCATCAACCTATGATCCAAGAGATTGTGGTTCAATTCCCGGTGAAAGCACATGCTCAGGTTACGGGCTGGATCCCCAGCGCAGGGTGTGCAGGAGGCAGCTGATCAATGACTCTTATCGTTGATGTTTCTAGCTCTCTCTCTCCTTTCCTCTCTCTGAAATCAATAAAGATGTATTTAAAAAGAAAAAAAAAAAAGTGGGGCTCTGCGGTCAGACTGCCTAAGTTAGAAGCTCCTTCAGCCTTTTGTCATGTGGCCCTAAGGAAGTCACTGCACCATCTACCTCACCTACCCCATCAGTAAAACTGGGCTGAAAGACTCCTCTCATAGGATTCCTTGAGGATGAAACAGGGTTCATCTTACTAAAGTGCTTAGTGCAGCACTCAAATGTCAGTTATTGCTACTGTTCTTATGTCTTTGTTTGAAATGAAATATTTTTGAAGTCAGCCTCGTTTCTTGTCTGTGAGCCTCCCAAGGAAAAGAGGCGGCTAATTAAAATCTCTGACTGTCAAGTTTTCATGTTCTCCATTTTCTTGTGAACTGCCAGGATATGAAGAGTCAGGCCTGATATCTGGCTTATACTTGACAATTTACAAAGTACCCACTACGACCCAGTGGACAAACAGGCACAGAAGATCCTGACTCACAGGTTGGGGGGCACAGGCTCTGAGGGACAAGAAGACTTACTATGTCATAAGACCAGTCCCTTGACTCTACGTTCAGTGCTGTTTCTGGGACATCAGAGTGCCTCCCAGGGCAGGGCAGCTGGGCCCAGTCACCCCCTAGAAAGGAGATCCTGGGCACACAGGATGCCCAGACCTAAGCCCAGGAGCCTGAGCCAGGCCCGTGAGAAAGCTGGCTTTCATGTGAGTGTGGTGGCAGATGACGCTGAGGGGAAACCTGGGCTCGAGGACAAAGGCATCTCAAATCTTAAATGGACAGTAGTGATAATAAGGGTTCACTGAGTCTCTAAATCTGACCCAGCTCACGCAATGAGGTACACAGAGCTTTCAAAGCTGCCAGGATGTGAAACCACGACTATGCATAGTATGTCTAGAAATACCTGCACAGTTTCTTCAATGATTCCTTTCATATTTATTGAGTACCTACTGTGTACCAGGCACTGAGAAAAGTAATAGTGAACAAAACAGACAGGGCCCTGTTCTCGTGGCTCTCAAGTCCAGTTACCGAAACTGTGTGTGCCAGATGCTAGAAGACAAGAAAAGGCAAAACAGGGCATTGCTGAGGGAACATGAGAAAGGAGAGGCAGGCAGGGTTGGGACTAAGTGGGAATCTAGCCTTTGTTGAGAGAAATAGTGCCACTTTTTATCTCTTGGGTGGGAGAGACAAGGATAGGCCTGAAAGGGACTGGTTCAGGGTCCAAAGCCCAAGGTCATTTGCATCTGGCCTCATCTAGACAAACTTCTTTAGACCTGTCATTCACAGAAATGCGCCCCTGCTTGACCCACCACTTTCACAAACAGAAAACCACTGACTTGGAGGTTGCCTCTGCAGACCGAAGGGCAAGGAGTTGAGTGTAGCTGCTGGGGAAGCTAACAGGTAGAGATAGTCACCTTATCCTGGAGTCCCAAGGCCAACCGCCATGAACACAGGTTATAAAATAGCCCTGAACCCTAGCATCCTCAGTGGCGAAATAACTCCTTTACCCCATGCAAACTAGATTCGACTTGAGCTTTAACTCCCATCTGCTGGGGAGTAGGGGGCAGGACAAAAGAAAAGTGGCTGCTTTAATCCTTTCACTTCCACCAAACCCCAGATCCTAAATGGAATGAACGTTTGTCCTTCCCTCTAGTGTTGTCTCTTTGCCAATATTTTACTTCTCATTGATGGCATTTCTTGAAAAGTGCTACCTCCTCCAGGAAGCCCTCCCTCTACCGTCTGGCCAGAGCTAAGGGCACTCTTCTTTGTATACCTGTAGCACATCTCACCTCCATGACACTGCTTAGTCCCTTGTACAGTGTTTTTCCTCCCATGGCTACTTCCAACTCTCCTTAATAAGGCAGGGACTGTGTCTCATCTACCACCAGGGTCGGGTATGTGACAAGTATTCATTTGGTGTCAGCTGAATTGGAATCACTGAATCCCATTTGGTGCAGCTTCAACCAGAACATTTGCAAACTGATATCGCTACACATTTACAGGCTTGGCACTGCCAAAGTTCAAGTGGTAGAGCAGAGAACCTACACTGAAACCTACACTTAAACCTTAGTAGGTTTAAGACTTAATATTCCCTGGTCCTTAGCACACTCTTATTTAAATATCTTAAACTCTGTTTCACTTTTTTTCAGTCATTTCACTGTAACAATTGTGCTATGTATGGCCTGCTCTTATTTCTCTTTACTTTGGCTGTTTTTTCCAAGTAAAGGTGAATAAAAGCTTCCATCCACTGGAATTTATGAACCAGGTTAATTCATACATTAATCCACTGGATTTATTTAACCATAAATTCATCCATTAGAATTTATGAACTATTTTTTCTACTCCAGCTGAACAGCACACTTCATAGGTTTTTAAATTGTGTTTAACAAGGCAGCAAAGTACAAAGATTTAAAAAGTAAAAGATCTAGCCCTGGCTGGTGTGATTCATTTGGTTGGGTGTTGCCCTGCACACCAAAGGGTTGCCAGTTCAATTCCCGGTCAGGGCACACGCCCAATTCCTGGGCTTGATCCCTGGTATGGGGCATACAAGAGGCAACTGATTGATGTTGCACTTTCACATGGATGTTTCTCTCCCTTCCCCTCTCTCCAAAAATCAATAAACTATTCTTTAAAAATAAAAAATAAAATAAATAAAAGAACTAAGTTAGAAGTTGGAAGTCGAGGATGTGAGGCCTGGGTCTGTCATTAAGTCCCTGTGTGACTTTCTATACATCACATCTACTCTCTTCATTCCATTTTTCTGAGTGGGTTGGCCCAGTTATAAGTTCCCTTTCAGCAAGGTACTGTTAAAATGCTATAAACCCAGAGTTGCATGAGGCATCACTAGAAGTTCTGAGAAATTAAATGTATTCATGGCATAGCTAATAGCATGCAACCATGCTTTCTTCCAACAATTCACTGAAGGTAGAGTTTCTGGCACAGGGAATGCAACAGAAAATTTAAAAGCTTCAAAATGTTTAGAAAATTGTTTATTTGGCAGAAGCCTCCCCCAATACTGGGCTTTAGAGGATCTAAGCAGAAACTTTTCTTTGAAGCCAAAATGTCCATTATTGCTTTCTTTGGAAATTGCCTGTTTCCTAATGTAGGCATGCTAATATTACCTAACTCATAGGGTTGGTGTGAGATTCCATTTAGTCAATGTATATAGAGTACTATATACATGGAAGTGTCTGATACGGCGTAAACAGGGTACAGATGTTTGCTATTATTAATATTATTTGCTTTTGTTGTTGCTGTTATCATTTTAGGCATTAAAAACTCTAGTGAGAAGAACAGTTTTATCCCATGATGATAAAAGCATGTTTCCCTATAGATAAAGAAGACTGGTAGTTAACCTAGGACAGAACTCTTGCACTTGTTTGAAATACAAAAGCCAAAAGCAAGTGTCCAGTCCTTGTGTAAATGGTCTTCTGTAAGTTCCTTCACACCTTTTCTTACTCTTCTTGATCTTGGGTTTCCATGTAAGTCATCTGGGGACAATGCTACTTGACTCAAAAAACACTGAGGGTAATTAGACTGCTTTTAAAACTATGTTGGATTCTCTCTTAGAACAAGTGATAATGAAACCAGGCAGATTCTTTAAGAAAGGTAATGCTTCTCATACTGACAAACTTAGATCTACTTAACCTTCGCTACTGCAACTCACAAGCAAACCACACAACTTTCTTGGAACACCACATCTCAAACCTGGAAGATTTACTCACAGGCCAGACGTTAAGTCAAAGGTGAAAACAGAAGATAACTCCAAGCAAAGCGTCCAATACTACAGTGGGTCACTATTCAAAGAGAAGAACATTTTTCATTGCAGTGTTCCATGTTTAATGATAATAAGTGCAATATTATATCATTCCTTCCAAGGCCAAAGACTGGGATGCAGCAGACACTTGAATATTTCTTGTTGAATCAATAAGTGGATGAATGAAAGGCAGAATGACCACTGATATTTTAGAGAGGAGGGAATGGGTGCAGGCACCTGAAGAGGCTATCCTGTGTTTCATAACAGATGGAGGGAAGATCAGTTTAAATTGTTGTGAAGACGAAATACTCTATGTCAAGTACAAGTTCCTACTAATGGATTATCGACAATTATTTTATTCTTACTAAAAAGTTATGAATTCCCAAAATGTCAATGTCATGAAAACAAAGAAAGGCTAGGATATGTTCCAGATGAAAAGATGCTTGCCGGTGAGTGCAACAGATGAGCCTAGACTGGATCCAGTA